GCCCCTCCTGCATGCAGCCCGGGGCTGGAGGCCAGGACCTAATGAGACCCCCTCAGACCCGGTACCCTGCAACTGTTTACTGGCTGGTGGAGAGAAAGACAGAGGAACGGACAGACAGATACAGCTCCCTCTTACAGTGGCTCTGCAGTGGCCAGAAAATGCACCTTGAGGCCCCCCCAGACCCTGACCAGCACACAGGCCTATCCTTAGAGAGAAGCAGCCCAGAGGGTCCTCCAGCCATGGGGCATGGGAGGGAAAAGGCCCCAGACCCCAGCTCGCCCGCCCTCCCCACCCACGTGCCCTCACTCAGCATCCTCAAGCTCCCCAGCACCCCAAGCTGGGCCCCCCCCTCAGGCCTCCCACCCTGTCCCCACTCCAGACCTGCACCCGGGGCGTCCCACACACCCACGTTGTGGAACCCCCATGGTGCCACTCAGGGCCCCGCCCAGCACCTCCCGGCCACCCCCACTCCAGGGGCCATGGCACAGGCGCAGGCAATTCCTGGCACCCACCGTGCTGTACTCGCCCCTCACCCACCCAGCAGCAGCCCCTCAAGCCCGTGAGCACCTCAGAAGCGGCATCTCCCAGCCCTGAACGGGGCCATCAGAGACATCTTCTCCCAGAGCTCAGGCCTGTTTTACAAATCCTATGAAAATCCTCATTTGGTGTCTAACAGGGTGTTTCCAGCAATTTCCCCCTCTTCCCAGCATCTCTGAATATACCGTATAGATCACCTTGGCCAGAAGATCCTGAATACAACGCTTCCCAGATGGGGGGTCCCTAAGTGCCCCAAGACCACCCCAACTACACCCTCCACGCCACGCAGGCTATCGGAGATCAGGACCCTCGGGCCACAGACTGCAGAAAGCTGACCAGGGACATTACGAGGACCAGGCAACAGCTCCGCCTGACCCAACCTCGCTCCACACCATCCGAGCCTCCCTTGAGCCCCGACCCCAACTCAGGATCGGCCACCCTCGGGCACCCCCTCGGCCCCCAGCAGTCTCAGCACCCCAGACGCAGCAGCCGTGGGGCTGCCAGATAAAATGCAAGACCCCCAGCTCGGTCTGAACTACAGACCAACGACGGGTGAGTTTCTAGAAGGACGTCCCAAACACCACACTAGCTGCTGCCCATCTCAAATCCACATTTAACCGGCCGGCCTTAGTTTTCATTTGCTAAATCCGGCAACCAAGAGCAGGTGGCCCTGAAGGAGGGAGACAGGTGGGCACACAAATAGCTCTGGGTCAGCCAGGCCCAGCTCAGGGCCAAGAGGAAGGGTGCTTGCAACGAGAGCTCTGCTCGCTGCCCAAGACACCCCCTCGTTCACCCCAAGCCCGTGCGGGGTAAGCAGAGCCTCACCCAGCTCACGCGGAAACCCAACTCGGCTCCAGCCACACAGGGCTCTGCGGTCCCTGTTGTCATCAACGGTGACCCATCACACTGAGTCTGAAATGACAGGATGTACTCCCCCCACCCCTGCCCCGGGAGCAGTAGGATCACAAATGGTCCCAACCAGACAGCCCTGAGCAGGAGGAGCCCAGGCCCCACCCTGCTCAGCTGCTACTCATGAAGCCATAAACCTAAGAGTACACCAGCCCAGAGAGGCGGGAATGGGACCGAGGACACATTGTGCAGGGAGGCAGGAGGGGTTACAGATGTCAAACTAGGGTGGGTGGAGGGGGCTTACTGCATGGTTCTCTGCCCCCTAAACCCCTACAGGCCAAGAGCCCCTCTGTCACACCTGGAGACACCTGGGCTTAGAACCTCCAAAGTAGGCCAAGAAAGTGGTGGGGTCCTGCCTCCTTTCCGGGGCGTGGGGCCTGGGCTAGCCCCACCTAGAGCCCCCTACACCTCCACCCCAAAGGCCCTGATACGTCCCAGCAACAACCACCTGTCACTTCCCACTGTCTTCAGGCCAGGTGTGTTTGTTTCCTCCTGAAAACTATCCCCCACCACCTCTCCACCTCTGTTGTGAATTCCTGCCGGGAATCCCCTTCCAGTCGCCCTAAGTCCCTGTCCCACAGGTCCCACACTCTCCCGGAAGCCCTTCAGTCAAACCTGACTCCAGCTTGTGTCCCAAGCCTTTGGGCCCAGGTCCCACTCTGCTCCCCAGTGTCTGTGAATTACTCCGTGGGCCTTGTTCCCCGGCTGTCCCCTGAGGCCTCTGCAGGGCCCACGGAGCTGGGCACACACTCCTGGCTTGTCCCTATGAACCTGGAGTGTCTCTGGCTGCCAGGCATGTAAGAGACAGATGCCCACAAACAGAGCCAGGGAACTGAGAGAAAGGGAGGATGGCATTTGGGAGCAGAGCCCCAGGCTTCGGTTTGGGGAGAGATACAGTCTGGGGTCACGGGGAGACAGCGGGCCCCAGCAAGCTCAGGGCAAGACCCTGGGACTCCTACGGAGTGGGGACCTGCCCCAGAGATGAGAATTTAGGAACAGGAGAGAGTTTGCTTAGTGATTTGGGCCAAGGCTCAGTAGCAGGATTTCATTCATTCATTCACTGAGACAAGGAGTCATTCGACAAGCACCTGGGAAGCAGGCCTGATCCCTGCCTGTCCCTAGCGCAACTGAGGAGTCAGAGGGGAACACCTGAGTGAGATGGATGTTGAGACAGACGAAGGACAGGATGTTCCGGGGACACAGAGGTAGCACCTTGGCCAGCCCTGGGGACAACGAAGGACCAGCCCGAGGACACGACAGCTAAGCCAAGTGCTGAAGGAGGACAGGAGAGAGGCAGATTCTACAATCCCCACCCTAGGCAGGCAGGGCCATGGAAGGAAGCCCCCCAGGCCCCTGTGGGGAAAGGTGGGGAGAACCTTCGAAGTGAGAGGAACAATGTACGCGGAGGCCAGGGGTGGGAGGAAGTCAGGCCATTCAGGAAAATGGCAAGATTACAGGATCCAGCAAGTGGGCCAAGGAAGCAGTGGGTGGGCAGAGGGGAGAGACCAGACCCGGAATGAGAATGTTCTGGGAGCTGCAGTCTGCGGTTCCAAGGTCACGCTTAGGACATGAGTGTCCCAGGCCACCAACCTGAGTTCCTAAGCCAGGGTCTCCTAACCGAGTCATTACCAAACCGTGGACACCCTGGTCTCTGGAGTCAGGGAAGCTGCAACAACAGCCACCTCCAAGACCCCCTCGTTACGTCTGCCTTTCAGTTTCCAAGCACCGAGCTCTGCCGACTACCACCTTGTCAGAAGGCTGGCCGGGCTCCTGGGAGGCTGCCTTAAATGAACAGATAAAAATTGCTTGTGATTAGCACATTGCAAATAAATGACCCTTCTCCGAGAGTTCTCTTAAGTAGGTTAAGCACGCCCTTTGACGCTGCCTCCGAGACCCAGTTTTGCACCCCTCGGCCCTAAGTTCCCCCACATTTCAAGTGTGCGGGCGATGAGTGTCTGCGGAGCGCTGACCCCTCTTCGTCTCCTCCGCCGGGGTCCTCTGGGACCCTCTGAGTCAGAACTGCCAATTTCTAGGTCATCCTCAGAGCAGGCTACAGAACGGGGTGTGGACTTGAGCCTGCCACAACGCACTAGCACTAGCGAGTGGGGGGTTACGACATCCTGTCACTCAGGGGCCAGGCCTGACCCTTCGTCCACAGGTGCCGGTTCAGAAGAGGTCAGAGTCTACCTCACAGCCTCCCGGGCCCCAATAGGTGGTTTGTGATGGCCACCTGCCCCCTCCATCCTCGTGCCCAGTCCCTCCCTGCCAGCAGCCACCAGCCTCCCACCTCCTCCGGCTCCGAATAAATAATCGATGCCGGTGCCCTTTCCCTTCGGAATGACGCGGCTGAAATAAATGGGCTGCTCCAAGGCACCTCCCAAGTCCCAAGGCCCCAGGCAAGGCCCCAGGGCAGTGCCAAGGAGTGAACAGCCCTGGCCATGGGGCCACCAAACACACAGAGGCAGATGATGGCCACAGGGGACCAGGGTAGGCTCTGGCCACCCCTCCTCCGTACTCCCAGCAGTAAGAGAAGCCCCTACAAATGCCCACTCCTCTAAAGGCTGTCAGGGACTGCCCTACCCCCACGCCACCAGGCCCATCCTGGGGCAGCCCCACATCACTGTCCCCACTCTGTCCAGGAGCCAGCGCTCCCCGACATGCCCTGCAGGGAGACTCCTACAAGCCAAGCACCCTCACTTCAGCTGTGATGGGGACCCAAGGGCCTCCCACCACAAGTCTGGTCCAGGGAGGGAGGGTCACCAGGCCAGATGCCAGAGCTCCAGCCCTCCCCAGCACTGTCAGAAGGGCAGAACTCTCAGCTGCACAGGCCCCCCTGCCCTGGGCCCAGGCCAGGCTATGGTCCCCTCTCCCTGGCTGCAGGCCGGGGCTCAAGGCCATCATTCCCAGGGACTTAGGATGGGGGGTGGGCTCTCCTCTCCTCTCTGCCCATCGGCAGGAACTCAGAGACCACCCACAGATCGGGCAACCCCAACTTGCTGCTCTGAGCCCTTTGTCCCCCACCCCCCACCCCAGGGTTCAGCTGCCACCACTCAGGCCAGCCCCCTCCCTGGGGACCCCAGCAGGAACCACTGTGCTGGGGCAGTGCTCTCGGGGTAGGACTCAGCCGGTGAGTGCGGGGCGCGGGCAAGGGGCCGCCCCGGCCCGGGAGGGCGGAGGTGAGGGGGGGCGGGGGCCGCGGCCTTCCCAGCCCCCTCTGCTCCCACACTGGCGCCCGCCGCCGCGGGCAGCACGACTGACCTCATTCGCCAACTGCAGCAGCCTGCGGGCGCCGGCCCGGGACGCCCCCCACCTCGGGAAGGGCCGGGGGTGACAGCTCCCGGCTCCCACCCCCTCCCGGCAGGTGGGGGCGGCCGTCCCTCCCCTCCCCCGGCCCGAATTATAATCCCAGTCACGTGCCTCCCCGTGCACCCAAAAGCCGGACTCGGATCCGGTAACACCTTGAGGGGGAGGGGCGGGGGCCCCCGGAGCGGGGGGGTGGGGGGCAGAAGGGGAGCAGGGCCTCGGCGCCCGCCCCCCGCAAAAGTTTCTCCTACCTTGGAGGATCCCCAAGCGCTCCTGCCAGCGGCGCCCCGGCCCCGGCCCGCGGCCAGGACTCAGCCTCCTGCCGCTGCCTCCTTAATTAATCCGGGAGAATGGGGGAAGGAGAGGCAGGCGGCGAGGACGGCGGCGCGGCGGGGCGGGGAGGGAGCGGCGGGGAGGGGGCGGGGGGGTCGGCCGGCCGGGGGGCTGGCGCGCGGCGGCCCCCACCCCCGGCGCGGGCTGCGGCGGAGGGCGGGGCGGCGCGGGGAGCGGAGCCGAGAGCGGGAGCGCAGGGAGGCTCTTTGTTCTGTAATCCCAGTAAGATTGCCAGCCATTCGCCCCGGCCCTAATCCCAGCCCCGCGCAACACCACCCTCCATTGGCTGCCATTTACATACGGGATTAGCCCGCCCCGCGCCCCGCGCCCCGGCCTGGGCACCGCGGGGGGAGCGCGCCGCGCCCCCGGCCCCCGGCCCGCGACAGGGGTGGCGGCGCCCTCGGCCTCCCCGGCGCCGGATTAGAGAGTCCTGGCGCGGCGGCTGCGGGAGAGCGGGGCGCGGGGCCGGGGGGCGCGGGGTCAAGGTCACCCAGCGGGCGCGGGGAGGGGTTGCGGGGGCATTCCCAGGGGAGGGAGCGGCGGCCCTCCAGTCTGGCTCAGGTTCGTCCAGGGCTTGGCCCAGGTGCCTCTTTCAGCCTTTGTCCCCGGGGATGTGCGGGAAGGCAGTGACAAGCCCAAGGTCGCAGCGGATCCAGCTGGACTCCGGGGCCCATCTTGCGTGCCCAGCTCGCCCTCCTGGTCTCTCGACCCAGGCTTTTACTCCTGCCCCCCCCCACACACACACACCATACCGCGGGCCGCCCTACTGAATCAGGGAGCACACTTCCCATCCTCCCCAAAGCCATAAATCCTAATTCAGCACAAGGAACACAGTCATTCGCCACGTGGTGCCCTGAGCCCTGCGCTAGGCTGGGCTGCCCAGAGGGACACACCCGAGGCAGGCCCCAACCCCAGGGAGCTCCTGGTTTACAAGGAGAGCCAAAGGTAGACTGAGAGTCTACTGGGTCCTAGCAAAGCCCACAAGGTCTCTCCGTGGCCTCCCTCGGGCCCTGCTGGCCACACACCAGGTGCTGGGTGAGGGTTAACCTTGGGTGACCAGGGCTCCCCAGATGGCGAGCCAGGCCGTGTCCACAGCGCCTACCCCAAGGGAGAGCCCAGAGGGGCCCTGCTGCCCACAGTGGGTGCTGGGCAGGGCAGCAGGGGTGGGGAATGAGGCCCTCCGTTCTGTGCTGCCGCCTTGCCCTAAGAGGGCCTGGGGACACCTTGAGGCACCTTGCTATGTGGCCCCCTCAGACCCTCATCCCCAGAGCCGCGTGCTGGCCCTGGCTGGGCAGCATGGCTAAGACAGAAAGCCACCTGACCATGTGGCTTCAAATCCTGGCTCTTCCTCTTACCACCCATGTGAACTTGGGCAAGACAGTTCCCCTTGCTCAAGTCTACGCTTCTTCCTTCCTGCAGCCACTTGGTCCACCACAGCGTGGCTCCTATGGTGGACAGCACTGGTGATGGCCCCCGCTTGTTTAGCATCTACTGGGTGCTGGGCATGTCACATTTATGGTCTCTAAAGCCCTTCTGCCCACTGACTCACGGTGTCTCCAATTACATCTGCACCAGCCCAGGAGGAATCAGGGTAAGGCATGGCCTGGGGGGCCCAGCTGGGGGAAGCTGATCTAGCTGAGCTGCTGGTTTCTGGGCAGAATGCTTCCCCCACCCCAAGTCCCGGACCCCAGGGCCTGGAAGAGCCTTTGTACTGCCCTCTGCAGGCAGAATGCAGAACAGCTTGTGGCATGCTCGGGGTGGGTGTGGCCTTCCTCCCTGACACCCAAACAGCCAGCCTCACCCCAGCGGAGACCAGGGGGCAGTGTGGTACAACACTGGCGTGTCCAGGCCACACTGAGCCACATGTGATCTCGGTATGACGCCTGGCTCCACATGTGCTGTGTGTCCTAGGCTAAGTCAACTGGCCTCTCTGATCCTCCCGCCTCAGCCTTTGTAAGTGCTGGGGTTACAGGCGTGAGCCACCGCACCTGGCCCCAGCAGCCTCATGTTGCAGGTGCTGCAGTTGCAGTGCCCGAAGGCGGGTAGGTCCACAGCAACCCAGGAGCCAGGGGAAGCAGATCGGACCTCAGGATCCGGTCCACTTCCTGCCGCTCCTTTCTGCCATCCCCATGGCTTTCCTTATATTTTCAGGACGATTATTTTATCTGATAGTTGCTATCCATCCTTTAAAAATGAGGCTTGAATGTCTTCTGGAATCAACGACTCCCGTTTCCCTTCAGAGGGACCTAGCTCCTATCCCATCATGGAAGCCAGAGGGAAAGTAAGATCGAGGTATGGGAATGTGTTTCCGAGGCAGGATCCATAAAACAACGTCACAAAAGGGCGAATACAGTCTGTAGCCTAGACGTCATTGATACGTGTTATGCCCAACAGCCGGGGTGCTTGGTGGTACAGGGACCAGGCAAGGGGTAGGGGGAAGGTGGCAGGCTTGCTGGGCCCCTGTGTCTGTGACCCAAACCTCCAACCTTAGCTTGGGCTGTCTCCCCAGGAGTCTGCTCATCACCTGCCTGGGCCCTGTCCTCCCAGCTCTTGGTACCCAGAGCTCCCCTGGGTTGCTAAAAAACCAGAAATCCCCTCCCTCACTGGGGTATCTGATCTGCAGAGCAACCTCTTAGAGTCCTCCAAGGCTTCCAGAATCCCCAAAATAACACTCTAGTGCTGGGATTCAAGTACCCCGGCAAGCTGGGGTGGGGACACTTGGAAGCAGGGAGGACCACGTTAGGACGTGGGCAGTTCTGAAGCCTCACCCTCCCAGGTCCCGGGGTTCGGCCCCATTCGCGGTCTAGCTCAGCACTGTTCCACAGAAACAAACAAATGCATGCCATGTAAACTTCAAATTTCCTAGTAACTGCATTAAAAAAGTCAAAAGAAATGGGTGAAATTAATTTTAATAAGACATTTTATTTAGCCCAGGATATCCAAAAATGTTGTCATTTCAACATGAAATAGTATTTAAGAATTGTTATTAATAATTAATATTTAAAAATTGAGCTTTTTTACATTCTTGTTCTTATGCTAAGTCTTTGAAAACCAGGGGCTCGTGCACACTTAACTGCACATCTCAATTTGGACGAGACAGACTTCACATGCCACATAGTGGACCATGCAGGTCTAAGAGGATCATTTTCTGACCCTGTTTAAGTCACAAAACCCCTTTCCAATAAATTCTCACATAGAAGTTCAAGTCGCATAAGAGATAAGTGTGGCACTGCACTGGGTAGAAGCAGGATTGGGGTCACTCTCGGGTCCCTTTATGCTCTGGCTCCTGTGAGGGGCCCCTGGAGAGCCCCAGCCCTCACCTTCCACCCCCCCATCCCCTACTCTGCACAGCAGCCTTTGGAAATGCAATGGTGACAACAGCTAGCATTTATTGAATGCTTCTCATTTATCGGTGCTAAACGTCTTACGTGTATCATCTCCGTTAATCCCCAATGAGGGAGGTGACAGTATCTATCATGCCCATTGGGAGGGATAAAGGGACTCAGAGGTGCCTGAGCTGGGAGAAGCTGGGGAACAATGTCACTGCCCTCACATCATCCACAGGAGGGGCCCCCGCTTGCAGAATCCTGGCACTCAGCGCCCCGCCCCGCCAGCCCCCCAGCCCAGGGGGAACCAGCAGGCTTGGTTTTCCAGCAAATCCCAGGCAGCTGCTCTGTGAAGCAAGTTCAGTGATAAATGAGTGAGCACTTAGAACAACTTCAGGTCCAGAACAGGAAACATGGAGGAGAAAGGCTTCAAAGCAACTTCCCCGACACTGGGAAAAACCAAGAAACCAAGGGCGCTTGGGGGGGGGCGGTCCACTCTGTTTGTCTCTTTGCACTGCCTGGGGTGGAGGGGGTCTCAGTCCCAGCCCCACCCTGCCAGCTCCTCAGGCAGCAGAAGGGTGCTGGGGAGAGGGGACTCCAGCAGCCAGGCACCCCTCCCTGCAAAGCTGGCACAGCAAGAAGAGCATCGGTCTGGGCCTGAAACGCAGCTGCATCATTCGGGGACATTTCTTTTCTCTGAGCCTCGGCTTTCTTTCCTGCAGAGGGGCTTCCTAATGCAGCCCATGGCCTGTGGTGAGCCCACTGCCAGCCCAGGGCTTGGCACAGAGCAGGGACCAGGCGTGGCCAGTGGATCAGCCAGGTTGTGGGGGCAGGTGGGAGCATCTTCCATCTTGGGTCAGCCACTGACTTCAGGGGACCTGGGCCTCAGTATCCTCATTTTGTGTGCTTGCTAAAAGCACAGGGCCAGACTCTTCCAGGAGACGTGTTGGCTCAGACGCTGGGAGTTAGGAGAAATGCTGAGGACTCTCCATTTTAGAACACGGTCCCCAAATTTTTTCAATGCCAGCTCAAGTATGGGACTTCATGCTCTCAGAGGACCTCATGCTCTCAGAGGACCATTCGAGCTCTGGCTCTGCGACGCTCACCAGCTCACAGCCATGACTGCTGGGGCCATGTCCCCCGTGCCACCAGGCTCCCAGCGCCAGCTCCTCTGTCACAGCCGCCAATGCCCAGACCAGCAGCCAGGCCTGGCATCCAGCTGGGCTAGACTGGCCCTGAGAGGCGATTCCACTGAAGCACCCTTTCTGGGCCAGGCGTCACCTAGACCCAGTCCCTGCCCCTGGGAGTAGTTGGGGAGTGTGCGGTGAGGAAGGGGCCCTGGGTGCGTGCGGGAGCCAGAGGGGGCACCCTGCTTAGCCTGTGGAGGGAGGGGGATTGCCAGGGCCACGCCCCTCCAGCTCTGTGGGGAATGGTAAACCCACTGGACACTGCCCTCCACCCCACACCAAAGGCCAATTGGGCCGGGAGTTTCACCACCTGCTAAAATATTTCTCTCCTGCCCCAGGATTTTCTGGAAATGAAGGACCCTGCTACACTCCCTTGCCCCCAGGAAAAAGCTTCACCCGGGGTCTCCCTTTCTGCCCACCAGCCTTCTGTACCACCGCCACCCCCACTCCTCAGGGAGGGGTGTGGCCCAGGTCTTGGACCCAAATCTTTGCTTTCCCTTAGCAGGTGGGCGTGCCCCTCTGCCCGGGTGCTCTGCCAGGTCAGCCTCTCACTCTCCAGAGCTCAGCCTTCCCGGCCGCTCTGGCCGG